ACAACAAATCTGTTAATAAATCTTAAATGAATAATATCTTTAGAATTTACTGAGAGATGAGAGTAAGGAAATGGAAATCTCGCAAAAAAGAAGCATCACACACAACACTCACCAAATGGCTGGTTGATTTTGGCATCTGGATTAGGTAGCGACCAAATCTTCAGGATACCCTCTGAGGCTTGATCGCCAACAAGTTTGTTGATATCTTTTTTCTTTTCACCTTCCTGTAATGGGCTGCTTATCAGACAATATCTTTAAAATATTATTCGAAATTCCCTAATTTGAAAACATTTAATAGTTTCGTTAGCGGGTTATTACAACACTTGTTATCATTTAGGCCGCTTTCGCATGCTAGCTTTCGAAGAAAACGAATTACGAAAGATCTTTGACAATGATAAATTCATTTCGGCATCCCAAAGTACAGCTTTTGCAACTCGAATAGTGGCCGTTTTTCCAGGCAGCACATTTGTCGAGACAATACATCAAACGTGGTTCAAACCTCCCTTCCTGTTTTTGTCCGTAACTAGATTCAAATTTAGGGTATTTCAGAACCAAAAAGAAGAAAGTGTCTGAGAAAATTACGACAAATATTTCTGTATAAACACCTTAAAGAAAAAACGTCACAATTTTCAAAGTAGACTGACCCTGTCCTGTACTTTGATGGCATGTTCTCGAATTCCACCGAATGGTGTGAGGCCCGCTTGAGAAGCGAGCTCCTTGTCGTGCAGCGGAGGACAATTCATCCACGGCACCACACCGTCGTTACTGTCGCTAAGCTGTCGACTGCTTTTGACTGTCGTTGCTGCAATTAGTATTAATCACTGATGGTCCTGCTCAATGGTACCAAAGACCTCAAGAGAGTTTTTTTTTCCCACTTTCAAATATTTCAAAATGTTGAGGACAATAATTATACAGTATTTTTAGGACAGTGGCATAATGAAAAGGAAAGATGCTGTTCAGTCTGCCTCGCATCTTCCTCCCTTTTTCAACGGTCAGTGCAATCAAAGGCTAACTCTCGAAAGAGCAAAAATTAAGTTGTAAAAGTGCAAAATTCGTCCGCATGCGAACCTAGACGAACTGGTAATCACTAGGAATTATTTTTCCCTCACCTTCCTCTCTGCACGACACCTCGCTCTGTTTATGCTCACTGCTTGTTCCAGAGATTCATCTCAAGGAGATTAATTTGGTGGGACCACTATCTTTTGCCAAAAAGTGGGAGCAAAACATTTCTCCGCTAAGCCGGTATGTCATATTTTGTTTGCAGTGAAGTTCGGAAAAACGAGCAGCTTGAAATGATTCCAAAGGCAATTTGCAGAAACGCACAAACAGCTGTTTTCTGATTCACATCCCTATGCAGCGTCAAAGCACGGGACGAGGTGGTAACGTGGTATACACATACACACCAGAGAGATCTCGAAACAGCCATATTGTTGGAAGTACCTCTGTGGTTAAGCTGTTCAGTAGATGATGCAGCGCTGATCAAAACAATTGGAAAAGTTGCCACTGGGATAGCTGGGGAACCAGTCCCACGCTGGACAGATGGTAAAGTATTTCAGGTACAAGTATAATGCCGCTAAAGATACTTGAGGGTTCTCAAACGCCCATAAGAAATACACGGAAATTTCCCTCAGGCTGTTAGAGCAAAACTAGAGTCTTAATGATAATCTCGGATGTGTCGGTAAATAACTAACCCTTTCAAAATCCAGTAACTGTTTCGGTAGTACGCAGTTATGTGTCTAAAAAGCTGAGTTGCATTCACCTGACTTCTAAAAAAGCCCCCAGGAGACGGGAACCATCGACAGTCTTATCAAGTTGGTGTCAGTGGGGCTATTATTAGTGTTTGTCACAGTTTTAGGCCAAGCATTCCTCTTCTTCCTCCCTCGTACACCCAAACCACTCGAACGTCGGATTTTCATAAGTCAGCCGATAACAAACACCTAAAAAAGGTCCAAAAAGTTTGTTCAAAAAATTAAACTCACTAGCATTTCTGATGGTACCAAAGCCAGCAGTGCCTTTCTGGCTAGCATATTCGTTCGAGCCATATTCCCATGGTATCACGCATGGTAGGACGATTTTTCGACGATGTTTTCTTTCCTGCTGTTTCGAATATTCCTGCAGATCCAGGAAACCATTGCAGTACAGTAAACAATAAGTACAATGCATAAAATTGTACGGTAGGCGACGCTGGCCATGATAATTCCTCATCTGTCGATGTTGCTGCTTCTGATAACTTTGACTATCACACTGATAATGGTAGCGGTGAAAAAACTGAGAGAGTCTTATCGGACTGTTCTGGCAACGACGGTAGTTGAGCAGAATCATAAGTACACCGAGATAAGATGAGAGCTTCTCGAGAAAAGATTTGAATTGGACAGTTACGGGCTGAGATCGAGTCGATGAGTCGTCTGGTGACTCTGACAAATGTTCTTCGGCTAACAATGGATTTTCTTCGGCTTCATCGATGTTGCCAGTTACTGGAAGGGCCGAAAACTTACGTCTCCGGTACCGAAAATACGGCAGATTGGAGAGTCGCTCTGGCAGCTTGCAGTTTGTTTTCGAATGACAAGAAGAGAACTGGGCATGTCTGACTCGGTTGAAACGAGTATCTGGATGATCCTGACTGACTGCTGGCAGTGGAAGTAAAGATTTCCACTCAGGACTGGCCACCAGAACGAAATGATCAGCGGGAAAGGCCAGCTGGGTTAGTTGAGTATCAACGGACTTGAGAATGGGCACGGGAAAATGAGTATTTTTCTGGATGAAAGTACTGCCGGAGTTAGGCTGGTGGTGGTGCTGGTGGGCCGGCACTGAGAGAGACTGGCGAAAGACGCTGGAACAATGCCTGAAGCGATCGGATTTCAGTTTGACGGAGCGCTCTGGCAGCTTTTCTCCGGAGCTGATGTATGATCCGAGATGCTGGCATGAAAACATCGTGCTTATCCGCAATAATCCAAGAGTCAAAACTTATTGCTCTCACCAGGCAGTGCACACATACCTATGCTTCTTCGTGTATGTGTGCATGCGTGTGTGTGAATTTGTGTGTATGTCTGTTTGTACGAATTGCTGGAAAAACATTTGTTTGAAACAAAAAGTCTGAAACTTTCGAAAGAGTTCATTCTTTTTTGCCTGAATTCTGGATTATTTCCCAGACTGCAAAAAACTGCAAACCTTATTTTAGAATACACACAGATTTTGACAAATTTCTATTGGCTTGCACTAGCAAAGTTCAGTTGTGGCAGTGATCAGTCAGTTTGTACACTTTCTGCTGCTCAGGAAATCTTCAGCCTACCAGAAAAGCGACGTCTGAATTGCCTGCTGTGACTTTTTTTTAACTTTTGTATTCCCTTAGAGTTTGTCAATTTCTTTCAACGAAAAATTGTTGCTGGCGTATCCTGCATCTTAGAGTGTGCACCAGCCTCAAATGCGCTTTTCAAGGACACTTCCAAAGAGGGAAACAGCGACAGCTCTGACAGCGAATGGTTGCTTTTAACAAAGTGCTGTCGCTATAGCTATTCCTGAGTGCCACGGCTTTTAAGGGCCGAGAGGAAAAAGCTGAAGAGGAAGAAGCAAAACAACCAAAAAATCGTCAAATAACTAATATTCCATACTCGT